TTTCCCCGTCCTGCTGATTTTTCACAGCCTTTAAAGCTATGTAAATACCGTTTGGACTTCATTATGAACACAGCAGCCAACCATTGCCGTGGTGGCAAACTGCATCGAGTGGTTCACGTCCATCTGCAATTACAGCAGGGAGCGAGGGAGAGAAAAGCTCTTCGCCTCCATCCTCCCCTGTTTAAAACCAGCTGAGCCGTCCCTCCCCCACAACTGACTAGGGGGCAAAAAGGGGACTGCGGAACAGCCCAGTTACCCCGTCTCCATCAAAGGCAGCTCCAAAGTCGTACTCTCCCGTCTTCATGGTCTGGACCAGGTCGGCAGCGTAGGTTAGGTTGGGGTCGGGATGGTGGCCACCGAAGTCCTCCAGTGGGGTGCAGTTCACGGCTGAATTCGCTGGGGCTCCGAGCTCCTCACACAGGATCTTTTTTACGTAAGGGCCCACAACTACCACGGCAAAACACGGAGAGGAACGAGTCAGCCTCTGCCCTCAGTCAGCTCTGCGCCAGCCACGTAACCGCCCAGGCCTCTGGCCTGCTCACTTTGGGTCAGTTTGCCTGGTTTATGGCACTAAAGCACAAACACTCACATCAAAAGCCAAAAGCAGCACACAGGCGTGCTAAAGCCTGATCCACCCAGGCACACAAGCCCTTGCCAAAGCCAGCTTTGCAGCTGCGGGGCTGTCCCACGAAATAAGTGCAACCACTCGTGGGTTTAGAGGTGAGGATGAGCCTATGGCAGGGGGGCGGTGCGTGAGCCAGGATCCCACTGCGAGGGGCTCAGGCCCCAGCGCACCGAGGCATTCGCACGGCAGCATCACGTGGCAGAACAGAACGCACGTGTGAGCCACAGACAGCCGGCAGCACGGCAGGATTTACTGCCCTCAAACGTGAGCAGTGTAGGCAATAAAAAGCGAGTACAGGAATGGGAATGGCCTGGAGACAAGAGAAACAAGATGCTAAGAAAGCTAGGGCGCTCCTGAAAACGTCTGCTGAAGAAGACTCACAAGCATATGTATGAAATTACATAGAACAGTCCAAAGGTCCCGTTTTTGTACTCAAATATCTACAGGCAGACCTTTGTCTAGCGCCGTGTCCTCCATGGGACATCGACTCATGCAGAGTCTCCCAGAGCAGGTCGGATCACGGCATCAGCGCTAACCTCTGCCTCTCCAGCGCGGGCTGACGTGCGTGAGCCACGCAGCATCCCTCCCCAGAGAGAATCACAGAATGGTCGGGGTTGGCAGTGGGGCCCCCCAGCCCACCCCCCTGCCGAAGCAGGGTCACCCAGAGCAGGCTGCACAGGACCTTGTCCAGGCGGGGTTTGAATATCTCCAGAGAAGGAGACTCCACAGCCTCCCTGGGCAGCCTGGGCCAGGGCTCCGTCACCCTCAGAGGGAAGAAGTTCTTCCTCATGTTCAGCTGGAGCTTCCCATGCTCCAGTTTATGCCCGTTGCCCCTTGTCCTGTCGCTGGGCACCACTGGAAAGAGTCTGGCCCTGTCCTCCTGACACCCACCCTTGAGATATTTGTAAGCATATATTAGGTCCCCTTGCAAACCCCGCCAACGTCTCTGCCCCAGGTCAATTCCCCAGTCCGAACATTTGACAAAAGAAAACAATGTAAAGCTATAAAAAGTTTGCCTGCAAAAAGAAAAATGCAGTATGTTACAAAACAAAAAAACCCACAAATTTACAGGGGACGGATACAAACAGTTTTCCCTCTGCAGTAGGTGGCAAAGCCCCGGGGACACCCGGCCCCCCGCAATCCTGCAAGCCCAAGCCCCCAGGTACCTCCGTGCATAGCATCTATGCGAATCTTGAGGTGGTTTTTCCCCGAAAGCAGTTCCTTTAATGCACTGAAGTCAAAGATGTTCCTCAGCATATTCGCGTAAGCTTCTACCGAGTCCACAATTTCCACTGGGGAAAAAAAGCAAACAGAGACCAGCTCTCAGAGTCTGAAATCTTCGCAGAAAAACGATTCTGCTGCACGTGGCAGCGTGCTGATGGTCCTTGGTGCAAAGGGCCAGGGCTCAGCATTAAGCCTTTAAACATCCCGTAGAACCGTTTCATAAAGACAATGATAATGGTCCTGTATTACGAATTTAATTACAGGCTGTCGCTGCTAACGGAGCTGCACACCAAACGGACCAACGGGCCGGCTGCTCCCGGCTACAGCTCCCGAGGCTTCTTTCGAGAGGGCTCAGTCCCACTCTGCTTACTGGGAGAGTGGGATTAAAGGAAAGGGGGGAAAAAATATAGACATATAAAAACAGATCTCCAGTTTCCACCAAAGTCAATGGGAACTGTGCACCCAATAGTCTGAAAGTTGCACCTTGGCAACTAACCAGCCATATAAAGACAGAGCCACGAAAACGCCGTTAATGTAAAAATCCCACTATAGAGAAATGGGAACTGAGAGAAATACCAACTCTTATGATAATTTGATTTTTTTTTTTAATTACAAGCACAGGTCACCGGGAGATGGTAAAAAATACCTGCAGTAAGTGTTTTTCAACAGTCTGTTTTTAATGTATTTTCGTACTTCACTGCTAACTGACAAAAGTCACGTGTGAAATGTAATGGATTTCCCACTCAGAGAGCGCTTCTATACACGAAACCATGGGGGGGAAAAAATCAGTTACAAATATTAAACACTGTAATTTTTAATTAGGAAAACACACTTTAACTGCAGAGCTGTCTGTTTCGCAAGTAGGTGTTAACGGTACCCTTACAGACAAAATAGTCTCTGATTTCAGTGACGTTTGCTGGACCAGGTTTATCTACCTAAGCACAACTTTTTGCAGGACAGAACCGGCGATATAATCAAAGCAGCCACGCAAGGCAAGACGCAGGCTGAAATAAAAACATCCCAGGATGGCAGTGTGACCAGGAGTGATGTCCCTGCTTGGCTTGTCCAACAGATGAGGAGCCGAGGTCACAGAATCACAGAATCACAGAATAGTAGGGGTTGGAAGGGACCTCTGTGGGTCATCTAGTCCAAGCCCCCTGCCGAAGCAGGGCCACCTACAGCAGGCAGCACAGGACCCTGTCCAGGCGGGGCTTGAATATCTCCAGAGAAGGAAACTCCACAACCCATCTCCAGAGAAGGAGACTCCACAACCTCCCTGAGCAGCCTGGGCCAGTGCTCCATCACCCTCAGAGGGAAGAAGTTCTTCCTCATGTTCAGACGGAACTTCCTGTGCCTCAGTTTGTGCCCATTGCCCCTTGTCCTGTCACTGGGCACCACTGAAAAGAGCTTGGCCCCATCCTCCTGACACCCACCCTTCCCTCTGAAACGCCAGGTGTTCTTGCTCCTTCAAGGTAGGTCCATGCTAACTCCACCTGAAAGGAAACTTCTCGAGAGGAAGAACAGTTGTTTACCTGTAAATGGTTTAAATTTGTTCTCCAAGTCAAACTGCTGTTTCCCAATGGTGCCCAGGTCCACCTGGAGATCTGGGCAGATTGCATACTCTTCAATTTTCTTGCTGATTTGGAAAATTTTATCCGTGATACCTTCAGGAGCAGGACCTGTAAGATAAAACGGGCAAGGGAGAAGACGTTGAAGAAGCAGACTGCAACAGGAGTGTACTTCAGCAGGGCAGCAAAAGACCCGGGGCTGGGAATACCTCCCTTGGAGGGGAATACCAGGGTATGAGGGGAGCGGATCAGTCCCACGCTCTGGTTAGGGAAACCCACTGCTCAGGGTGCTGAACCTCTGCGATATAAATTTGGTTCCTCGGGGTCAACACAAGAAATGGCCAAACAGAAACAAAGCGAATCAAAACGAACCAAGCGACCTTACCTCCATTGGCAATATTGAATTTAATGCCAAAATCTCCGTTGGGCCCGCCAGGGTTGTGGCTGGCTGTCAGAATGATGCCACCAATGGCTTTGATTTTCCTGATGATGCAGGACACGGCTGGGGTGGAGAGAATGCCGTTCTGCCCGATGACCAAGCGGCCGATCTGAATATTGAGGAGCAAAACAAACAACTGTGAGTCCCAAATCCTAAAACCAGCAAAACCACCAAACCTCCGCACGCCGGTGACAGGTACACGAGAGCCTCGAGGAGAGGTGCTGCTCCTCTGCAAGCAGCAGCTCGTTCCCGGGAGGCTGCCGAAGCTCTCTGCTGCGGGCAGTGAAGGTCAGCACCTGACCCCGCTCTGTTGTGCCTTTTTAGCATTTTCCTTTACGCATGCTGCAGCTCCACTGGAAATGGCAGCGTGCGCTGAAGAGCTGAGCTTCCCAGAGGCACCTAAACGACTGTGGCCAGCAGGTCAAGGGAGGTTCTCCTTCCCCTCTACACTGCCCTAGTGAGGCCTTATCTGCAGTGCTGTGTCCAGTGCTGGGCTCCCCAGTTCAAGAAAGATGAGGAGCTACTGGAGAGAGTCCAGCGGAGGGCTATGAGGATGGTGAGGGGACTGGAGCATCTCTCCTATGAGGAGAGGCTGAGGGAGCTGGGCTTGTTCAGCCTGGAGAAGAGAAGGCTGAGAGGGGACCTTAGAAATGCCTCTAAATATCTGCAGGGTGGGGGTCAGGAGGATGGGGCCAAGCTCTTTTCAGTGGTGCCCAGCGACAGGACAAGGGGCAACGGGCACAAACTGGAGCCTGGGAAGTTCCAGCTGAACCTGAGGAAGAACTTCTTCCCTCTGAGGGTGATGGAGCCCTGGCCCAGGCTGCCCAGGGAGGTTGTGGAGTCTCCTTCTCTGGAGATATTCAAGACCCACCTGGACAAAGTCCTATGCAGCCTGCTGTAGGTGACCCTGCTTCAGCAGGGGGTTGGACTAGATGACCCTAGAGGTCCCTTCCAACCCCGACCATTCTGTGATTCTGTAAACAACCACCAAAAAAACCCACAACCCTTTCGGTCTCAAACTTTGCTTTCAAAAGGCACAATGAGACTGAGAGAAACCAAACCAAAAATCAAACATCATCACTACTCCCATGGGACCAGCTGCAGATTCTCTGCTCGCAGCGGCTAACACACCTCCTTCCCAGAAATTTAGTAATATCACTGAGATTAAATCCAGACCAACGTGCTAAGCAATGCAAGGTAATCAGGATCCAGTTGCTGGCATTCATGTAATAAAACAGAAGATGAATATTCTTCTGGAAGAACATGCTCCTTACCATAGCCCTCTAAATGAGGTGACAGAGGTTTAAAAAAATACCAGACTACTCTCCATCAGCCAAGGAGATCAGGCCGAGATACGACCGAGAAAAGCACAGGAATTTCATTCAAACTGGAAAACAAAAGGCAGCATTCCCAGACCGAAGGTCCATGTTTGGTGCTAAGCCAAGGGCACTGGATGACTGCGATTCCTCTCCCGTGGCACTGCCTGGTGCTAAGCCCCAGCGTCGCTGCCGATCGCAGACTACTCTCCATCAGCCAAGGAGATCAGGCCGAGATACGACCGAGAAAAGCACAGGAATTTCATTCAAACTGGAAAACAAAAGGCAGCATTCCCAGACCGAAGGTCCATGTTTGGTGCTAAGCCAAGGGCACTGGATGACTGCGATTCCTCTCCCGTGGCACTGCCTGGTGCTAAGCCCCAGCGTCGCTGCCGATCGGTTATTACATGCTCCAGCTTGAACGTGCAACGTGATGCTGCCGACACTGCAAGCGTGTCCGACGTGATTCGGCAGTCCTGCTGACCCCACTTTTGTGGAGGCGACAGCACCTGCCTCTGCCACACACCGACAAAGAGATTTTCACATATTCCAAACACAATATGCATTTTTTATATCTGAAAACATCCTTGGACTCACCCCTTCTATTCCATAGAGCAAGACGAGCACAATGCTGACACAGTCACCAGTATTAGGCAGACTGCATAAAAACAGGCAAGGAAAAGTACCAACACCAGCAGTGAAACTAGATTTTAGCCAGACACGGGCCACACCGCTGGAAAGGAATGCATGAGAGCAGCCTCACGGTCTTATCTCACCTTTACCAGCAGAGAATCTGTCCTAGTGCCAAGCAGTCCAAGCAGCAGGCCTGGCTCTTTGTGCACGTTTTCCAGCTCTTCTGCTCTGCCCTTACACTGCCTTAAGAGGAATGCATTAATTCGCAACGCCAAAGGATTATTTTTTTCCCCCAAAATGGAAGATATGTTGATCTAAACAAAGGTCTCTCCTGCTATTCTCCCATTCACTACTAATTACCCTACTGTGATCAGATAAGTTTTTCTGTCAAACAAATGCCTAAGAGCCAGGTCTCTCGGCATAAAGCTTGCTCTGCACGAAGAGATCCAGGACAGACAGCAGAGTCTTTTCTTCCCAAAAAGCAGAAGGAAACAAAGACAAAACCCCAGCGCCCCAGAGCCTCACGGCGCACGAACTGTGCTCTCCTGCAAACAGAGAAGCCTTCTGTTCCCTTCCAAAACACAGATTTCCAGCACAACCGGAGATCACCGTAAAGGCTGCCACTCATTTGCTAACTCTCATCTTATTTCAGCTTTCAAAGGCTCCCGGAGCCCTTATCGCACAGCCACAACTTAGACCTGCTGAGAAAGAAACAACCACGTTTCGCCTTCTCCTCGGCCGAGCAGCTCAGGGCAACGCTGGAAGAGCTTCTGCTGCGCTGCCACCGAACAGCGAGCCGTGGCTCTACCAGTTCCTTCGCTTCTGAACAACATCAGGGCTTCAGGATCCGACAGAGAGATTACGAAATCCACAGGTGCCAACAGCCTGTGGCATGTCAAAACACAAAGCCAGAACACACGACAACCTAGCAGGATTTATTTTCTTTGCTGCATGTGTATTTCCACATACTTCTATCCAACTGCATCACTTCAAAGAGAAAAAACAGTAATTTCTGTACTACCTAATTGATTTTCCATTAAAAAGTTAACTATTAGCAGTTGAATAAAGTCTTTGGGGAAATTAAATCTCACAGTGACTAATTCATTATGGTTTTCCGCATTTATCAGCTACACAACTACAGGAATTTAGTCATTTAACATTTACCAACCCCATTGGCAGCAGCCATTTGCACTATCAGTTCCACTGCAGACTTGTTAAGGTATCTCCCATCACCTCCAACCACCATCGAAGATCCTTGTCGATCTCTTAGGTCTATGGAATAAAATATACTCTGGATAAAATTCTGCAAATAGTTCATCTTGGATTCAAAATAAAAGGTCTTCTTCCGTAATCCACTGGTTCCTGGCTTCTGATCGTTGTAAGGAGCTGTTGGCATGGTCAACAGAGGCAGAGGAGCGTCTTCCATGTTCTTTTTTCATACAAATGCATTTAAAAAGTAAATTATGCCAAAACACCAGGAAAAAAAAAAAATAATCAATCTTGACACCAGCAATGGCCCACCTATTAGACAGAAGTTCAGTGAAGTTGCTGAGCACCCAAAAATAGCTCCTGGAACCTTGAGCTGAATGTAGTTTCTGTAACTGAAGACGTTTTCTTGCACTTGTTGTGGAGGATCAATGTCACGGAGAACCACAATTCCACGCTGCCGTCCCTCACGGAAATGGCTGGGAAAAGGGGATTTTTGTCTTCTTTATCATCTTCTGTTCTCCCCAGGCACAGCTCCTTGCCATTCTGCGCTATCGCCCAGCGCCGTCAACCGACCCAGGCAGGGGCGATGCGGGGAGCAGCTCGGCCCTCTGCCCGGATGCACCGACGTGCTGCCCCGGCACGGAGCCCAGCGTTTTCCCCCTGCCGAGCAGATCTGCACGGCAGCAGCAGGCCGCCGGGTCCTCCGCTCGAGTTATTTTGCAAAGTCTGGCGAGTTAAAGGTCACTCTTAAAATGGAAGGCAGCAGATCTGTTACCTACGGTTTGCTCATACGACTCCCGCTCTGACAACCTGCCTTCTCCACGGGCTCCCTCTCACACACAGGGACGTTACCCACGATGGACAACGGGTCGACCGTTGTTTGACCAAGAAAAACCCAGAGTAGCCAGAAAGCCACAAGAGCAATGGTGTCAATCAGATACCCACACAAGTCTCACCACAGAATCACAGAATGTTTGGGGTTGGCAGGGACCTCTGTGGGTCACCCAGTCCAACTCTCCTGCCGAAGCAGGGTCAGCCAGAGCTGGCTGCACAGGACCTTGTCCAGGCGGGGCTTGAATATCTCCAAAGAAGGAGACTCCATAACCTCCCTAGGCAGCCTGTTTCAGTGCCCTGTCACCAACAAAACTTTGTTGCATTGGACTGTAGGTTAAAATTTTCAGAGCTGTATACAGTAAATGAAACTTCCTGGCAGAAGCATCTGCTGTCTGAGTGCTGCCCAGAAGTGTGGCACAGCACAGGATGCACCAAAAACGATCAAATCTTTTGGAAAACTGCGTCTGATAAAGCTATTCATTTTGGAGTGGCTTAAACACACAAAGAAGAGACTCAGCCACCAGGAAACTTTTATGAAGTATCATCTTCCTGAACATGCAGAAGGTAACTTTGAATGCTAGATTGAAATCTGTTTCCTCCAAACCGCTTCAATAACCCTTGGAGTCCCCCGTCCGAGCTGCTGGAAACAATTTATCGACATTACTGGTGCAGTTAAAGAGCATACACTTCGTAATGACTCAGTTTGTCCAATTATTAAAAAGGGGGGGGAAAGGAGATGTGTACACAGCTGAACTGTGAAAATCTGCAAAGGCACTCACAGGATTCTGTCGTTGCTCCAAAACCTGACAGGTCTTCTTCCAAGGGACACAGAGATTCCGTTACATGCATCAGTACGTTAAAATCAAGCTGGCTGATTTGTCTGAGACTGAGGGGAAACCTCATGACTGAATGCAGAAAAACACAAAAACACCTTTGGAGAGAAAGACTCTACCCGATCTTCTGTGAGTGCCTCAAGAGGGTCCCCCAATGGAGCCGAGGAGCCAGGTGAACTTCCCTAGGGAGGGAATTTAATTCCCAAGGAAACGGAGTTTAATTCTGGTTTGCTCTCAGCAAGCAAATCTGTTTAAGCCACCTGTGGGAACCCCAAAGGCCACCCCAAGCAGCCACCTACCCAGGCTTGCCCGAGGAGCGAGTGCTGGCTTAGTCGAAAGCCGGGACGCTGCAGGGTGCTGGCCTGAACACTCCGCACATGAACCGAGCTGCCTGATCCACCCAGAGCCCTCGTGTCTTCATGCCCCAGAAGCGATTCATTTCGCGTGGGCTCAGAATCTGATTCCTTCATCCCTCCCCATCAAACCACGCTGAGGCACGGGATGCGGGACGGGATGCCATCCAGAGGGACCTGGACAAGCTGGAAAGGTGGGCCTGTGTGAACCTCATGAGGTTCAACAAGGCCAAGTGCAAGGTCCTACACCTGGGT